ATAAATATGCGTAACTTAAGAAATTAGTACGGTTTTATAAATGAGCACAATTTTCAAAATTATCTTATTTCGTAATAAAACAATTACAAATATATATTATGTTGAAATAAAAATATTTGATTTAAATATTTGATTTAATATAAATATAAATATTTACTTAAATATGAAAAAAGACGGTTTAATAGTCGGAACAGGTGCTTTTAAAATCTTAATTATTTTTTCTAAAATGTTGACATCATTTATAATTCCTTATTATTTTTTAAATAAAATTCTTTCATTAATAATTAGGTTTTTATCGTTTACTTAACTAAAAATTAAAAAAAAATAAGGTTAACAAATGTTAATTTTTTTTTGTTATTTCGGTCTTTAGAAATTTAGAAATAAAGGTAAAAATTTAAAAAAAAGTTTTACTTTTTCATTATCTATTTACAGGATTTGATTTTGTTGAAGATGAATAGATTTCTTATAGTATAAAAATATTCAACGAAAAATATTATATAAAATAAACTAGAAAAAAATATTCTGAACCACGTTCAAATATAATTAACATTAAAGAGTCTTTTAAATTTATGCATTAGCATTTCTAATTTTGATTTTTTCTTATAATATTGTCTGAGATGAAAATCTTGAAAAAATGGAGAGATAAGAAAAGAAATTATTTTTAAGATGCGCCTGCATGAAAACTTCAGATTTTTATTAAATTACAGACGCAAAAAGATATTTATGGAATAAAAATTTCAGTCCTCTTAAAAAACTAATTAATTTTAAAAGAGTTTTAATATCTCAAAGATTTTTAAGATTAATTAAGAAACGAAGATGTTGACATGTAAAATGAAGTAATAAATAGACGAATGAAATAAAAATATTTAAAGCCATCATGTACAGTTTACTTTAATAATATGCACTTTTTATCTCCAATGAAAGTTAAAAAGTGACAAACAATGCAAGTTATTTATGCTGATGTTATTAATAAAGATTTAAGTACAGTTATTGAGATAGTTAATTAAAAGGATTAGGTCAGTCAACGTATGTAATTTTGACCTTCACGGCAAGATGAGCCGCAGGTCATTCGTCTAGTCTATACTGAGAGACACGTGAATAAACGGAAATTTATTTTTGTCTGACTTAGTGGTTGTTTTTCAGTAATGGTTTGAAAATATAAACTTCTCTTTTCTTTCTATACAACTAATTAATGCTCACTTTTAAGCAATATTTCGTACTTTAATATTAAATGTTATGAAATAAGCTAAAAGAAACTTGCCTTTACACTTTTTTCTTTTATTTGATTAATTTTCAATGATGGTGAAAGTATAGAAGTTGTTTTCATCTTTCTACTTTTAAAATTTAATGCCCAAGTAGACATTTTTAAACAATTGTTTGTAAATTAATATTAAATGTTATGAAATCAGCTGGATAAAGTAAAATTACTAATGAAGCTTTTCTGAAACATTTGTTTCATTTGAATAATTTTTAATGATAGCAAAAGTATATAAACTGCTTTTGTCTATCAACTCTAGTAGTCTAAGTCTAGTAGTCTAAGTAGGCAAAATTAATAAACAATATTTTATATATTAATGTTAAATGTTGGGAAATCATCTGAAAAATTGCTAAATGAAGCATGCTTGAACACATTTTGCTTTATTTGATTTAATGGCTGTTTGTCTTGTCAAAGAATAAAAATTAAAAAAATAGTCATAACAAAGAATAATAATTAATTAATAATATTTTATATATTCATATTAAATAATCTTAAATCAGTTGAATAATTGCTAAGAGAAGTTTGCCTGAAGGCATTTTGTTTTATTTGACTAATTTTCAATGATTATTAAAACATATAAACTGTTTCTGACGATCAACTCTAACACCTTAATTCTCAAGTAGGCATAATTAATATACAATATTTTATATATTAATGTTAAATGTTGTGACATCAGCTGAAAAGTTGCTAAAAGAAGCTTGCCTGAACATATTTTATTTGATTCAATGGTGGTTTGACTCAACAAAGAATAAAAATACTAAGCTTAAGTAAGTTCATATTGCAACTGTTACTGTACAACAATTACTGTATATATAACAGCAATTACTGTAACTCTTTTAAACTGGAGAAAACAGGTTGGTTAATTGATTTAACAATGTTTCTGGGTTCGTGTTATTATTTTTAAGCAAAATTAAGTATCAATTTTGATTAAAAAAGGCTCAGTATATGCTTTGATTTGACCAATAGTGTGATATAAAATATTTTCATAGATATTTGAAAGAAGTATTTTCTAATGCAGTTTATTACTAATACATCAAACACTAACAGTTTATCTTTTAAATAGTGAAACTTTTTTTTAATTTTGAAATTTAAAATTTACTTAAAAAAAGTTAAGTTATGAAACTTCAGAAACATGCAGACAATTTTGCTTACTTAAGCATTGAAAAAACATTTCAAATATGTTAGATATTTTTATAAGTTCCAATGAGAGAATATTTAATTAAGTTTTACATTTCTCACACAGATTCGACATTTGTATAAGTTCCAATGCGAGAATATTTAATTGAGTTTTACATTTCTCAGATTCATGATTTTATACATTATTTTGAGATTTTGTTTTATTTCATTTCTTCTAGAACAGTGTTGGTAAAGAATATTTGAAATTGTGCTGTGAATTGGGAAAGTAAATAGAATGATTAGCGCGTTGATATTTGTGTATCAATATGTAAAATAAGCATTCATAAATTAAAAGTTTCGGATTTTTAATTTTCAGATTGGCAAACCAGTTTTTATAATTTTTTATTAATAAAAGAAACTATGATAAATTTAAATGATAAACATGCCATTTAATTTACATAAAAATTACTTTGAAAGAAAAAGAAACACCGAAACACATTTATAAAAAATCTCCATTTATTTCTTATATTTTAACATTGTGACCGTTTTAAAAGAAATCTTTTTATCAAAATATAAGCTTTTATACTATGCGCAAAGTGGTTTCGACAAACTCTTTTTGTGGAATTTAAATAAAATATTAATAATATTTTGCATCAACCAAAAAAAAATTAATGGTTTTTTGATACAAACCATTCATAAGCGAAAAATTGTATTTATGTAAGATTAAAATGCACGTTTCTTAGTATTTGTTTTACGGCGAGTGTATTTGAGAGGCAAATCAATATATTAGATATATAATCTAATCTAATCAAATATATTAGAGAGACAAATTGAATATTTAAAGAGAAAAACAAAAGAATAAGCATTTATATAGTAATAAAATAAGAGAGATTGTTTTTAAACATATGGCAATTATTGATGTTTGAGCTTTCAATAGAAATGAAATTATTGTAGCTGCTTTTCGTAGAAGAGAGCTTTCATAGTTTTAAAAACATTTAAAATTCTAAGAAACTTTTGAATAATTCCTGTTAACACTGATTTAAATATAAATAAAATTAAAACATACGTTTCTGTCTCATTTAGCATTTGATATCGGCAAATGTTGTAATCACCAGAGATACACTCTATTTTTTTCTGGTTATGGTCACAGTGATTTTAATTAAATAATTTTAAATGCATCCTAAAATCAAGCCATGAATTGTTTGCCGAGTGGGCAGATTTATTACAGGAACTCAACTTGCGAGAATAAATTTCAAATTTAGTATTCGAAGCAAGTTTCTTTATATAAAGGAATTTTAAGTTAGTGATCACGCTTTCATATGGCTTTAAAGAGTTAATGCATGAAACTCTGAGGGAAAAAAACTCGGTAATCGAAATGAAATGGACAAAAAAACTTTCCATATCATTACATGATATTTGCTGGAAAAAAATCACACAGTCCCTGGGCAAATTATTCGACGCACTGTAAGAGTTTATGTAAAATCAGGAGATACTTTACAGCTTTATTGTTTTTACGCGGATGTAATCAGTTTGCACTTGCTTACGTTCGTATATCAATCGGTTAACATTGTAATGCGATACGTTAAAAATAAATAAAAATAGGAAGTATATAAAAAATTTCTCGAATAAAACCCCATTACATGTATGTTTAAATATGAAAGTATTGCATATAAACTCATGCAAAACATGTAATTATTAATAAACTACAGAGCGTCTTATAATTTGGTCTGATTATTACAGTATACTAATATAATACCTGATATAATAAATATTCTATATTCATATAATATATCGTCTAATTTATCCAATCGTCGAATTTATATCATATATCGTCTAATTTATCCAATCGTTGAATTTATATCATATATCGTCTAATTTATCCAATCGTCGAATTTATATCATATATCGTCTAATTTATGCAATCGTCGAATTTATATCATATATCGTCTAATTTATCCAATCGTCAAATTTATATCATATATCGTCTAATTTAACCAATTGATACATGAGTGGAAACAAATGCAAACCAGTTGCAGTCGCGTAAAAACAATAAAACTGTATAGTATCGCCTAATAATTAAAATTTTACGAAGAATCTTATAGTTCGCCTAATAATTTGACCATGGACAGTAGGTATATATAAAAAATATCAATTCGTTTTAAAAAAGGCAGCTTTATTTAAGGGTACTAGATATCTAGTCAATTTTAAACAATAAGATATGATATAAATTGTTTATGTTTTGTGTACTGTGCTTGTCTTGTAAATAGTGCCCATACAATTTCTGTAATACTATTGCTAATGGGATTTACATTGCGATGTTTTACTGATTTTCTTCAGGTTCTTTGATAAAAGACTCGAGAGTTTACAGAATTTTTTACTTTGCACTACACACTCAAGTGTATTTTTTTCTGAAAATAAATATACTTACTTTTTTTTCCCCAGAGAGAAATATAGCACTCTATTTGTTAAAAAAAATTATACTTACTAAAAATAGTGCGTTCAAGGAAATTAGTCTTAAAAAGGCAATTATTTATGATACTTACACGCTCAATTGGGCTTTAGACGAATACAGATAAAAAAAAGAATTTTTTAAAAATTTTGCCTACAAACTATGAATAATACATACTTTGAATCATTCAGTGCAATAACAAAACACCTGTAAGTATAACATATCTTAATAAAATACCAAAAATAATTATGATAAACAACAAAAATCAGTAAATTTCCTTCAAATTTGCTAAATTAATTTCCTTGCGATGTAGTTAATTTAGTAAATTCGAAAGAAAAATAAATTTACTACACTCTCTTTATTAATTTATGAAATAAAATTATGTCTTTTAAAAACTGTTCAAATTATTATAATAATTTGGTTTTCACCAATAATTTAACGTTTTAGAGAAAAACAAGCGAGTGTTGTTAGTTTTTTTATAAGATGTGACCATTATATAGCATTTGATAAGACCTCTTGGACTTAATAGGATCTGCTGTCTAGATTAAGGCTTTGATTTACTGCGGCACTGATTTAATATACTTGTATTACAGTCCCTATTCTATATTTGAACAGAAAATACGTGCAAGGGAAACTCCATATATTGTTATTTACTTTCGTTTTTTAGATCAGAATTATGCTCAACAAATCTAATTTAGTATATGACTGACTTAACTAGAATCTTATATTGTAGTACAAACAATGTGATGAGCTTCTTGCTCAAGCAATTCGTTTCGCTTATAAAATTACAGATTCTCTAGAAATTTGAACTTAAAGAAACAAAAAATAATTATTACAATTAATCAATACAGTAAATTGCTTTTACTTATTATTATTTAAAACTTTAAAACTAAATTCATATGTTGCTTAAATAAATATAAATAACGCTTTTTTGCTTAAAAGTGAAAAAAAAAAGAATTGTTAATTTAGTTCAGTTTGATTGTTAACGTCACGTTACACGGAGAAAAAAATTATGGCAAAATTATGATGGTAAAGACATTTCTTGTAAAAGAAACCATAATCTTGATAATTAAACCAAACTTCATGGTATTTAACTATAAGTATTTAATACAGTTCGGTTTACTGGAAATTCTGATTTTTAAAATTATAGTTCTCATTACCAACAACAAAACAATAACAAGTACAAAACTGATAAAGTAAGTTTAACCAAATAAATAATTTTTATGCCATGTTCTAAGGTATCACTAAAACATTTCTGAAATGTTCTTTAGAACTGTCCCCTATTTTACCATTTATTTGGTAATTTTAACCTTTTAATACCTCTCACAAAATAGAATGGTAATAATATGCTTACACGTTTATGGTTTATTTAAAATGGCGGTTTATTTAAATAGTTCATGGAAGTTAAATGACTGTTGAATTCTAACAAATTTTTTTTAATTATTACAAGAGGTAAAAGGACATGAATGATTTGCTTCAAAGGTTTAAAATATACTAAACTTAGATATATCAAATTATGGTGACTTTGTTTTATCCATCTTTTATGGGAGTAGAGAGATACATTTATTTACATATATATGTGGGTTTCTTTGCGAATATAAAGAATGGCTAAAACTCGTTATAATTTGAAAAACAGATAGCATAATTTTGTGAAAGACATCAAGAATATGCACCCAGAGATATAGCAGGATTCAAACCCATTACATCTACGCTTCAGAGCTGTTAGCGGAACAGCAATATTGCACGACGAGGTGCAAGTGAAATAACCATATTTTATTGAGTTTCCATCGGTTCTTTTATTATAGGTCTTTCCGCCAAACGCTATGAGTAGAGGTAGAGGGTTCAATATCTTTCTGTTGTTTTTTTTCATTTTTGTGCTATTTGTTCTGCGAGATAAACTATTCTTTGCATTAAACGCACGGGCCTTCATATGTATCTAAACCAAATTAATTTATTTACTGTTACTCATCCATGGTTATGCGTTGATTCAAACCCGTAACCTCCAATTTAAATTGTGTTTGGTGGAAAGATGAGACGGTTTGACGCGCGAAGTCGAGCTCTTTATAAAAAGTACATTTTATTTTTAATTTTACCGAAAAGTAATTACCAACTAGCTTCGGAAAAAACTTGCTCTCTTTGATGCTCCTATAGAGGCAAAAACACGGTAAATTTTATCATATTCCGGTAGTTTCGACTATACTTTTTTTCTCAGTGCAAAGCTATAGCTCGTTCACCAGGAGTTGGCACTTGGCTCCGCCTTCATCACGTGGTATACGACGATACTATTTCGCTATTTTTGGGAGAAGGTTGTGAGCAAACTTGAACAATGTTGCTATTTGGCGATCGTTTGGCAAAAATATTTATTTCGCAAACTTTATGTGCATTTTTTTAACAATAAATATTTCATAAATTTGATTATATTTTGCACCATTTCTTATGATATTTCTTTCTTTTGAGTGAATAGTTTGTCCTTTATGAGCCATTTCGCTGGGAGAACAACAGTTTTTAAATTTAAACTANTGGAGAAAGTTTGGCGCAAATTAAGGGTTGTCTCAATTTCAACAACGGAGATGTTTCTCTTCTAACTCCCGCGCTGAAATGAACTCTGCGTCCCAGGAGGTGGAGCCAAGTCTCAACTTCTGGTGAACGAACTATACACTAATGGAACCTAAGTAAATAACGGACTATTGGTGACTTAGAGACTATGAACTATTTGTTGTATTATTCAGCTTTAACAACGATCCGAAGACAAAACTGGAGCACACGCGCTGGATTCTATTTCAATTTGCACTTTAAGTGACATTTACTTTCATTAAAAGTTAAAGGTTTTACAACTAACAATCATTTAAAGTATTTGAGTTTCATTTTAATATTTTAAAATTCAAAGTTCTAAAAAGTATAATTTTTATGCCTTTACAATTGATGGGTGTATAAGGATTCTAAGTGATACTTTAATGAATACGAATGAATTATACTTAAAGTATACACGTTTACTGCAGAAAATAAAGATCATGTCTATTTCTTATCCACTAGCCACAACTGGCAAAGTTTATAAATCCCTAGTAATTATTTAAAACTGATTTTGTCATATAGCATTCGCATTTTTGTCGTTTAAACTTGCTGTCAAAATGCACTATTTCTAGGGTTTCTTGTCGACTTTCGCCAAATGTACTTGGAACTTTTCCCCACTCCGAAAGAAACACAAAGATTGCCTTTTAGTGCCGTTATTTGCTGAGATCTCAAAGATTTAATGACTTGGCAAAATTTATGCATGCCGCTCAAATTGGATAAGACAAAATGAAGATCTTTCTCTTAGAAATATTAACTTTTTTTTTCAAGAATGTTGCAAGAACCTTTGTGGTCTAAATTAAATTGATCAAAAATGAAGATTTATTGTTTAGCAATTACGTCAAAAACGATTAATTTAAGTGGTTGCAAAGGCAGATGATGCAACCTTAAAGTGAGAAAACGTACTGGTCACGAAAAATTGAATTTTTTTAGATTCTTTCATTTCGTAAAAACTTTAATCTGGAATCACGATTTTACTGCTAAATATCACTAATGAGTATTTAATAATACAAATTGCTTAAAAATACGTTTTTCTCATTTTTACAATTGTTGAAAATAATTGTAAAATGAAATAAAATTAAATTGCCGCATTATAACAACAATAATAGATCCACAAATAAAGTTCATTGATTGCTAAAAAATGATTAATTTTATTCTTACAAAACATACTGAAAAATCTAAAATTAATTTTGTCTGATTTTTTTTTTATTTTGTTGAAAATTCGTACAAGAATTTTAACTGCCGTATTAAGCATTTTACTATTTAAAGTCTAAAATGTCCATTTTTTTATACATACAATTGTTTGAAAAGAAAATAGTTTTAGCGCGGTATTTTTAGAAACGGTATGGAATTATTTTTAAAATGTAATTGTTACACTTATATGTAACAGTCATATACATTATAACAATAGTATGGAAGTTCGCCTATCACAAATAGATAAAAAGAAATGAAGTTTAACGATCACGTCAAAAACGATTAATTTTGAATGCCAGGAAAGGCAACAGATTTAATCTTACGCAACCTACTTGTGCACGCTATATTTGAGTTACCTTAAAATTGAATAAATCAGGTTATTGAATTTAATTTGCATTTTCCAAACACTATTATGAATTTATGCGTTAAAAACACTCCCGGTCTATTTTCCGAACAAAACATTAAGCGTAAAATTTACCACTATAAGTTACCTAGTTTCGTTCTAAAAGAGAATATTATCGCGTTTTATCAATGATTGACAGTGCTTATTTTAAAAGATAAACTGAAATTCAGCATTCATTTGGTGTGCGAAATTATACCTTACATCACGCGAGCAAGCTTGAATAAAAACTCATTATGACCCCAAATAAACAGTGACATTTTTTGTGGCACTCGTGTCCAAAGTTGACGTTAGCTTTGAATTCATATTTGAATGTATTGTATAACCGATCCCTTTCTCGATGTTTCCGGGAAATCAAGCACAAAACGTATCCTGTTGAATCACCCGAAACGTTCTATCGTGGCGATATTCCTGGGTTATTGCTCCGGCGAATTGTATTTCCTTCTGTTCAGCGTCGCGAATTCTTCGAACAGCCGTTACGTTACATCACAAAAGTATCATCTGGATTATTTCAGTTTATAAGCTCAATATTTGAATGTTTAAAGGAATTATTTTAAAAAATGGCCGAACAAAAAACTTATGTTGTTTTTCTTTCACAAAGCAAAAACTTTTATATCAGAATTTTATAACTGAATAAACTTTTTTAAGATTCTGCCCCACCGACTGTTGCTTTAGTGTCCAACAGGGATATTTTTAAAAGAGGAAATATTTCCTCCTCATATATATATATATATATATTCTATTTTAATCCATCAGATATTTAATGCAGTCGATTTTATTACTCTTTCTGTTTAATGATGATACCATTCTAATTTTTATTAAGCATTTATTATGAAAAAAAATAGAGGAATTAAATTATTTACAAAATGTACGTGGAGCTGAAGCTCCCGGAGACTTTTACAGATTCATTTTCTAAGGACAAATTCGCACTTTTTTTTCACATGGAGCATACAGATATTATTTCTCTCATGTCACGTGATTCATGATACCCAGACTTCTTTGTTAGGGTTGACATCGCAAGAGGTAATAATAAGACCGGAAGAAA